AGGGAGAGAGAACAAGCAAAGAGGGCTCAAAATCAACTTAAATGAAAAGAATTTCTTAGTCTTGCTGTGAGGCATCTCTAATGCTAACTTCTGCATAAAAATATATCCAGTCATACTCATGACAAGAAAAAATCTGGAGGTTATTCGAAGTCTCAAAAAGAACTTCTAACTAAAAGCACCAGACACAGCTACTCTTCCGACTGTCGACAGCGAAGTAGAAAAATCATCTCTATGGAAGTCAAGAAAGAAAGGTGAAATGAGGAGCAACATACCCAAACCAACCGCAAGGTTGAAAATACAGAACAACTTTGTCTCCAGTGGTCAAGTTTGTCATGACCATTTCTCCAGGTGAATCTACCCAGGTTCGTCCAAATATCAAATTGTTAACCTTTGTAGGAGGTGGAACTAAATCTAGAACAACACCATCTCTTTTAAGAGTCACACGTGTTCTGCATTAAAATTGATTAGACCATAAATTTTGTTTATAAATTCAACACGAGGCAAATAAATTAAATTCAACATGGGGAAAAGATTAAGATCAACAGAGGATTGGCAATGAGAATGTCATTACCTTCCAACAGGATAGACATCAACAGAGTTCCCTAAAAATTTAGTTTTTAACTTAGATGTCACGTCATATGTGAAATGCTCATTTTCAGCATGTCCAGCACTCATAGGAGGATGATGACTCACCTAAAAATACAAAACTTTGAATTAGCAAATAAAAGGAATCTAGAGCTACAAGCTGCATAAATATATTTATCGAGTTAAATGTATCACGATTCAGAAACAAGAATTCAATCATAGTGAGGGAAAGAAACTGCTCTCAGATAAAAGAGGTGCTTAATTATAACCTCTAACAGTTTGTTTAACATACCTAAACTGCTTAAAAGCATGTCAAATATAAGCAGCAGGGCACCTAATGTTTTCATGGTTGTTATAAGGACTTAAGAGTGCATATATTTTGAAGTTCAAAATCAAATGTTGTTATGTGGTTCTAAGCATTTATATTTGTAACATAAATCTCTGAAAAGCCGTTAGTGCTCATAAACAATCCAAAGACCCTTATCAGAACAAATTAGAGTGTCAATAAACAATAACTCACTTGTTCAGAAATAAATGTAATCCCTCCATGGTTAACCAGTTCATAAGTCTCTCCAAGAATTGGATTGAAAGGCTTCCAAGTGCGTTGGTAGGCAAAATAAACAGATATTGCCCACGACGCTGCATCAAGAAACTTGCGTGAGAATCATTCCCCATCATTGAAGTGCTGACTCAATATATATTTAAATCAAACAATACTCACATGCATACACCAACCGCATGTAGGGATCCTCACATTCATCTGCTTGATCCAAAAGGTACGAATATTCCATTAACTGCCATAGGCATTGCATAATTAGCACTAATGAGGTGCTTTAAATGATCAGATATTAAGGCAGCAGCATATGCAAAGAGATTCACAAACCTCTGCCATTTTTTGAAGCATCGTCATTGGCTCAAATATAAGGACAGGTAGCGTCACCATTGATGTGATATCAGAACCAATATATTTTTGCATCATCTTCCAATAACTATCACGTTCCTTTGAGAAAATGATCATTCAGTATACACATATAATGACAGCAATAATTAATTTGTATGTGAAAACAGCATAGAGGATCATCAATTAGGCATAGATAAGAAAAGTTACACAGAATAAAAATCAATAGAGGAATAGGTTAACGTATATAGACTTTGACACCAGACCAGAAGACCAATATGCCCCTTTCAAATTTCATTTGACTTCCATCATCTACCAATTGACTTCTATGTGCTTTTGTCATTTACATAATATTCGTATAGTTTCCGGCATTATCCAAACACTTTTACCGAGACAATATTTCGCTTATGAATCTAATAGATATAATGCTCTATGATTAATGCATATTATCACTTCGATGAAAGTTTATCCACATAGACCATCACTGATAAATCTTAACCAAGTTTTGTATTTATATGGGTGCTTAGAAAAACCGATCACCAGAATATCAATCCGTCAAACTAATCAATAGGTTACCTCCAAAGGGTAAGATCACAAGCTACTTCAACTTTTTGAGACATTGCTTTTAAATATAAGACATGTACGGATGAAATTCATATCAAATGCATCCCTTTCCCATATGCCAGAGACATCATGAACAATAATTGAAGAAAGTGGCCTCGTAATTATCTAAAAGAAAGTGTATACAGTATCAAGCACCCACATCCTGTTGCCATCTTCCTCTCAGAGCTTCCTCTTCAGCATCTTCCTTGCCTCCTTCTGGATTTATAACTTCCACCCCTTCATAACCAAGCAATCTAGTTGCAGGGAGAAAAGGTATATGTTAATGAGCCTTAACCAGTGACGTTATGACATCAGGAAAGTAACAATGATTGAGGTTCGGGGGGTAAATGTATTAAAAAGGAAAGTAACACCGATTCATCCAAGCGAAACTGATGAATAAAATCGGTACATGTAGTATTTACGAGGCATTGATGAGAAAAAAATAAGAATAAAAAGCTTGCAAATTCTTATGCACAAGTATGTTGTACTGTCAGTCCAGTTGGGAGCAAGTGATTGTCAAACTAACAAATAAAGCACACTTAAGGCCTTTATTTTTATGTGTTCATTATTTCATGAAAAATCAATTTCAACCAGTAAAATGTCAAAATAATAATAATAATAATAATAATAATAATAATAATAATAATAATAATAATAATAATAATAATAATAATAATAAATTTATATAAAGAAAAATTCCAAATCAAACTTAGAAAAAACATGAAGAATCCTATCATTGGGTTAGTCAATATAGCTAAGTGCCTGATGGCTATTGCAAATAAACCAAGACACTAATAAACAGATAATTTAGGTAATAAAAAGTGCATCTATGGATAGTTTCTCATTAAGCAAGCCAATCCTGACCAAAAAAAGAACAAGAGATATTTGACTTAAAGAACCAAGATAAATGGCCATCTTAAAAATTTCATAGACGAGCACATTATATCCATTTTTATTTTTATTTTTATTTTTTGCATCTAAATTTTTTTATAATCGTAAAGAAAAATTGCAAGACTGCTTACTCTTGATTTATGCATAAAACTCTCTTGATTTTAGGATGATCTGCCGGTAATGACATTGAATTTATCAAAATCATGAGCTCCAGTATCCTTAGTTACAAACATGAGTTTGGATTTTCGTAAAATAGCTGAATTAAGCTCCTACATACTGAAATCATCAAAGTCAAACACATAAATTCTTAGGCTAGTCACTGACCCAAGCTGTGTACATTCTTGAACTTATCGTAGCTTCCTTCATTTGCAGCCAGAATATATGACAAATGATTAAGCTATGGAAAAGAAGAAATTTTTTACTTTCATTATCAATGGGATCTGAATATTCATCAAATCCAATCACAGTTATGTGAAAGCCATGACATAATATTTTAGAACCTTGACGCTTGTTCTCTGAGTGGGACATGAGATACACTCATCTTTAAATGCACAACTTCAGCTTTTAATTCTGCAAACCTTTCGGAAAACTAAACAATAAATCAGTGGCTTTCCGCAAGTTGCATCCTGCAACCGTCTATCAACTAAATAACAGAAAGCAAACTGCAGATAAATCTCCCACATGGATGTATCACGCTCTATCAAAAATCAAAATTTAGATCTTTCAATTACCATAATTAATCAAGTAAAATTGAGAATATCACTGGTAACATGATCGAGCGCACATACAAACAGAAAAACAACGTATGACAAAAAAAAAAAAAAAGGGAATTAATACCCGTTCACCGATCTATGCATGACGCTGCTGAACATCGAAAAGCCCGATGTCATGGAGGAAAAGAAACCGCCCTTGTTTTCATTCTTATTTGGAGTCCCCATCTCTGCCGCTACAACAAAATTGTCTGATCGGATAAAAATTGAGAATTCTATTTCACAGAATTATAAGAGAATTTTGTGGATCGCTATGGGTTTAAGCCCCAATTTGGGTCGATCCAATCGATTTGCACGACGGAGAAAGATGTAGATTGGAGATGATTAAGCGGCAGAAATGGGAGGGGTAAAACAGGAAGCATAAAATATAAGACTAGTTGGCGGTTCTTCATATCGAGAATAATTTTATAATGTGCGAGTTGGCATGTAGCCGATGTCCTGGATTCCGTCCGCGCGCTACGGGATGCGTGAGGAACACGCTCCAATAGCTTGTTGATACGGAACAAGCGGGCGTCGGAAACGCGTACAATATTTATGAAAGAGAGTGTTTGACTCTTGTCTTTATAAAAAAATGAATTTTATGATAGTAGATTGATGGAAAATGTTTGGATAAAAAATATAAAAAAATTTGATTTACTTATACTATTATTTTAATAAAGGATGTGCAATTAAAAAGAAAAGAGAAAAAAATATATTTTGATAAAAATGATAATCAAACGAAACGTAAATTTTATTATTTCTTTCTCTCTGATGCTTATAAGTAAGGGACGTGCTATACATTCAGGGCCACATGGCCCCTGGATAAATATCTTTATCCTATAAGTAATGTTTTAAATGGGAAAAAAGCATAAGTCTGGTATTACGAATTCATCAAATCAATTTCAAAATATTAAATTTTAAAAATACAAAAGTCAAGTGTTAATTCTATTTTTAATTTTAAATAATAATATTATCAAATTAAATTAATTTACCCACACCTATCCCACCTATCCTCGCACACCAGTCGTAGTCATCAACCTGCTGATAACTTCTTCAGCAACGAACATGATCATCGCCGCCTCAAAACCCATACCTACCCAACCCACCCTTGCGCACCAATCGTCGATATCTACTCGTCGATTACTTCTTTAGAGGCAAACAGGAGCATCTTTGGCTCAGATAGTAGAGATAGATGGGAAAATATAGTGATCATTGGAGAACATCGACTTGTGTAATTTACAGAATACTTACAGAAGCAAATAACTTCAATTCTCATTGTCAAAATCTAGTTAAATGAATTTGCGACCAGTTCAGATAACTGAGGTCAGAGAAATCAATGGCATATAATCAAATCTCTTGAATTTGTGACATTTGACCTATGCATTTTGACATATATGTCTATGACCTAATCCAATGGTCTGTGACTAATCAATGGCATGTAATCAAATCTCTTGAATTTGTGACATTTGACCTATGCACTTTGACATATATGTCTGTGACTAAATCTCTTGAATCTGTGGCATGTGGCCTGAAGCAATGATCTGTGACTAAGTCTCTTGTATCTGTGACTGTGACCTATACACTTGACAAATGACCTATGATTTGATTCAAGGGTTGTGCTGTGTGCACACAATGGTGTACACACAGCCTTACACCCCCTCACATGAAGGGGATCCCATATGTAATAAAATATTCGTGGGCCTCCCTCCATGTGAAGATGATGTAAGGCTGTGTGTACACCTTTCTTTATCCTTGATTCAATGGCCTGTGAACAAACCTCTTTGGTCTGTGACCAAATTTTTTGAATACGTGACTTATGACCTATGCATTTGAACATGTACTCTGTTACATGTGACTGTGATATGGTCTAATGGTCTGTAACCAAACCTCTTGAATTTGTGACCTATGTACTTTGACATGTGACCCATGCATTTTGATATATCACATATTTAAGAGATTTTGGTCACATAAACTCAATCAATTGTGACCTATACACCACCATCATCACCACCTGTGGACATTGATGCATCACTAACATTCCACTACAGCCATCACTGTGTCACCAACGCCAAAACTCCACTCTTCAACCTCTAAAAATCCATTACAAAACACCAACTTTCGGTTACCATGGCCACAGGAATCCACCACCAATAAATTCTCCTCTTCAACCTATACAAATCCATTACAAACATCAACCCAAACAACAACCAAATCGGACCAAATCTGGCCTCAAAATCACAAGTAACTCATAGCCTCCATCCAAATTCTTTCCACTTCGACAACACCCATGGTCAAGGACCACAGCCAACCAATTTTCCTTACCAAGGTGACCGATTCCATGGTCTTGATTCATCAAAACCACTCCCACACGTCGATGACCAGAATAAAAAATTTCACAGTCACGAACAGTTTTCGCAAGAACAGGCAATCAATCAATTGATGGACTAAATGAATTCCAAATGATGAATTCTACCCTATAACATCCAATTGAGGTCCATAATACTGTGGACAATTCATCAATTGAACCAATTAACTAGCTAATTTATTCAAATTTTGGGATATATTCGAAAAAATTCCTTTCGAGCATTTAGACTTTCTCTCAACCAATTGACTACTCCACCGTGCTTCAATACAACAAATCTACTGGGAAAAACCAATGTAAGTC